TGCTTCTGTAATCCATGCTCTTTTATTTGCATGATATATAACAGGGAAAATCATTACTCCTTTAAATGCTTGAGGTTAGTGCATGTTTTTTGATTACGAAAAGTTTGCATTATAAAACTTCTCATCCCTTAATTTTGCTGCTCGGTGCTTCCCCAAATTCCAAAAATTTTTTCTTCCTTAAATTCTGCCATACGGTGCCGACATATCTTGCTGTCGTTTCTGGGCATATGGTGAATAACATATTAGTTATTCTGAATTAAAATAGCACTAAATGTAATCTTTTGTCATATGAGTTTCATTAACAGAATCTATTTTTAGCATATGAAAAGAAATTTTTGTTGAATTTTTCCTCGTCAACATTTCTTAGAGCATTTAAAATTCTATAATCATCGCCAAGCGTAATATTAGCATAAAAGGTTGCCATACTCTTGTTATTCAATTACTAATATAAAAAACGTTTAGGCATAACTGCATTAGTTATTACTGAAACTGTCATGTATTGATAAACATGTGGAGATGAAAGCAAAATATAATAAATAATGACTCACCAGGTCGGCATCAGGGATATAAAGTAGGTGAATGTTTCAATTTGAGATGTATGTATGCCAAGCAGATCCTCAGCCAAATTATTAATCTCACAAATTTATGCTGACATGATTGTTTTTTCATATTGAGGTATTTTATTTAGTGCCTAAGGGGAATTAAGAATTGGAATTTTTAAGTGAAAAGAAAATCTCCACATGTTTTATTATGGAAGGAAAAATCAAATGTGTATGCCTAAAGCTTACAGAAAAAAAAAAAATAAAAGTTTGTGGCTTTGAGATCTGGATTTTGGATCATTCCGGATAATGGACGTCCGGATTTCGGACTTTTTACTGTATAGAAATTCCAAATAATAATAAGTTTGACAAATTACCAAATGATGATAATGCCAATATTGACAATGTTATGGATGCAGAACCAGAGGTCATAGAGGTGTAAGCACCCAAAATTAAGCCCATAATGGCCAAACCAAATATTAAGTATTCAGACTTCCTAAAAAAATGACACTTGAAACAAATTAAAATTTTGCAGTTAGGGTATCTGGAGAATTTCTAAAAATTTCCCCCCAAACAGATGATGATCACAGGGGCATCACATGTTACTTAATTCAGCAAAAGGTAGACTACTACCTTATTACCAAAAAATAGGACAGACCAGTTAGAGTTGTTACTAGAGGTCCACCAATAAATTGCCCTATTGATGATATAAAGGATGAACTCTGTAATCTTGGATATAATGTGAGGAAAATATCTCAAATGCATCATTTAAAATCAAAGGCATCTTTGCCACTATTTCAGATTCAACTTGAAAATGTTCCTGGAGTTGAAAAAATATATGAACTTTAATTACTTTATGTTATTCTATGTTGAAATTGTTGAGTATAAAGTGAGTGGAGGGTGTTGTGCAGTGTCACAACTGCCAACACTTCTATCACAATTTTGACATATACTATAAATTGAAGCCACAGTGTGTAAAATGTGTGGGTCCGCACAAAACTTCTGATTGTATAGCCAAAAGAATTGCTACTGTTAAGTGTTGGAACTGTCTGGAAAAGGCATACTGTCAACTTTAGGAGTTGCCCCAAATTCCCTAAATTAACTAAAAGCAGTCCAACTATTGGTAAAAATGTTACCACCAAACCTGATGGAAAAAATGTTACTGGATTTTGTACTTAAATGTTACTCAGAATGGTAAGTAAGGCTCATAAAAATATACAAAATTCTATTAATGAAGTAAAAAAAAAAAAAAAAAAAAAAAAAAAAGGATTCAGGTCTAAGTTCTTTTGTAGATATTTTAAAACTCCTCAAAGCGCTAAGCAATTCAAGGGATTTTCACTGTCTAATATAATTAAGAAAATGCCAGAAATTCAATCAACAGAAAATGCCATTGACAATTGACTTATTCGAAGAAATCTTTTTGAGTACTAATGCTATCAGTGATTAATTACCTATGTACTTTAATAAACTGTCTTTACTCTTAATGAAACTATTTAAAAAATCTATATGAAAAATTTCCCCACAATATATATATATATACACACATATATATTTGTCATGTATTAATTGTAAATAGTATGCAACATTTAAATAATTGGCTGGCTGCTCCTCATTCTTATGTATTTTACCCTGCCTTTTGTTGAATTAACTCTATTTTATTTGTATGTATTTATAACTTATTTAATATGAAGTTCGTTGCGATCAGTGTCACTGTTCTTGTAATTTTTAAATTGTAACTTCTAAATTTTTGTTCAAAATCTCTTCACACTACTTTTCATTTCTTTTACGTTTATGTATTTTACTTTCAGCATTTTCTGTCATCAGCTCAAATGACTTCCTGCCAGATGCTTAAGTTTGAATTGAATTATGCCGGGCTCACACATTTATCAGTTAGTTTTTACCCAGCTTAAGTACCAAATTTCAGAAAATATTTGTTTTAGGCAAATATTGAATTTTTTATTTTTTTAAAATTTTTATTTAATTTACTTTTGATCATTCATTTGGACATAATTAAGAAAGACCCAAATTTTTTGTTCGATAAGGAGTAGGGCCTTCAGCCCAGGTACCCTGGTGTGTACACCGTTCCCCCAGCGAGACTCTAAAAATGTATGAACATATGTTTGTATGTATGATCATACACATACATTCATACTTACATGTATACATGCATACAAACATACATTTCTGAACCTGATCCTGATAACAGAACAGTACCGAAGCATTATACGAGATTTTATAATGGTTTTGGTAGAGTGAAGAATAGCTTCAATTGTCTCACACTAATTCAATCCCATCAGCTAAAATATTAGAAAGTATAAAGCTGACTGTCATCTATGCTATAAAATTCAATGTGAAACATAATGTATATAAAATTGTGATATGTAATAAAATTTATATAGAATTAAATATGAAATTTTATGTGTACAGAATCTGTAGATAAAGGAATGCATATAAAAATAAATTGGTTTTACATAATTTTTTGTTATGTAAGGAAAGCTGCACAATAAAATATATCAAGGGGAAGTCTTTCCAAGTCATCACCCTGTTAAAAGAACAAGGGTGATGACTTGAAAAAAATATTTCTTACTACCATATATTGCAAGAAAAAGGCACTAGATCTGGAAAAAAATACCAAATTTATATTAACTTTTATTTTACTCCTTTTAGGAGCATTTTATGATACTACTATCTTATTACTATAGATGAAATTGCTGATTTAATATATATCTAACAAATATGGAGAGAAACGTCAATACTGACTTCGTTGTTGTCATTATTAAGCTTACATTTTTAATTATTTAATTTTTCTAATTACATATGGGCATTTTAGTTATTTCATAAAGAATTTTTGCATGTGTGTTTCATTTTTTATTGTACTAATTAGAAACTTTCGTGCATACATTAAATCACTGGTGCTATTTATTTACTATTTTTAACAGATTTTGATAAATTATAAATATATGTCTGTCAGTGATAAATGTTTTAAATTTTTATCTTGCTAAAAAGAGTCATTTTTCAAAGAAATAGTTGATATTTGATTTGTTGTTACTGCTGGAAATATTTTTTCACTTGCTGCTGAAAAATGGGGGAGGCCAATACAAGTGCATTCTTAAATTAAGAATTATTTGTTCTCCTACGGCATCATTTTTCAAACTTCATTCCAAAAAAACCATAAATTCTTGACTTTTGCTTCTACAATCCTCAAAAGATATCATTCTCTATCAAGATCATCTGAATTTTATTAATTTGAAAATGCATTTAGTACTTTTTATAACTTTTTAGTGCTCTAGTATGTTTCCTGTCAGATTTAGATTCCGCATGAATCATAAAAGTTCATGTGATAACTAAAAATAATCTGAAAGAATTAGACACATGAATTTATGCCTTACTTTGAGTACAGTGGAAGATATTTAATGAGCAATGAATTTTAATTCATTTACATATTCCCTTAATTAAAGCAAATTTTGTTTTGAACATTAATTGTACTAAAAGCAGTAAATCTATTTAAACTACCATTTTCGGTTGAATATTGCTTGTTTCTCGTAATTCCATCAGCTGAAAATGAAATAATGGTTATGAAATGAAAATTTTAGGCAATGATATTTCATTACAAATGATGCCAACTGAAAAGATAACTTCCACTGACGATATTCAGTGTTCAGACACAGAAAGTGTATATCTAGAAATGAGAGTGGTTAAAAATTCAACATAGGTGAACAAATATTTCACTTCAGAGTGTCTTTATATTTTATAGAATTTCTTTCTCATCTTTAGGTATGAACTCCAGGTACACATTTCCTCCAGGTATACATTTTCTGTGTTTAAGAACTGATTATTCTTGGCTGAATTCATCTTTTCAGTTAGCATAATTTGAGACAAAATATTTCATGATCATTTCCTATCCATGGAATTAGAAGATGACGATGATATTCAATCAAAAGTAGTAATTTAAAGTTTTTGGTAGGTTAAATATTAAGAAAATGGATCGTAATTAAGAGATTTCATAAATCAATTGGAACGGATTTAGCTAATTAAATATCATCTTCCAGCAGGATTAAGTTGAGATATAAATTTGCATATTTAATTTTTCATACTATTTTTAGTTCTTATATGAATTCTTATCACTTAGAAGCAGAATAGATTTGATGGTAAACATACTCACTAAAAGTTAAAGAATTAGATATTACTTAATGCTTAGTAACTTAAAGTATATTTAATTCTTTCATGCTATTTTTAGCTCTGACGTGAATTCTTATCACTTAGAAGCAGAATAGATTTGATGGTAAACATGCTCACTAAAACGTTAAACAAAGTATTAAATCTAGTATGAGTAGTGCTTACTTTAGAAAGAGCTCTTTTGTGTACATTCTGTAATACATTTATTCTTTCAAATTAAGCTATATAAATTGAGACTGAGATTGTAATGCATTTATATTTCAATACTTTTAATTGTAATTTTAGGTTGGCAAAGACAGTGCCCTCAATAATTGATATTTTGGATGAAAATTTCATTGATGGTCATGTAATAAAACATAATGTATCTCGTCTTAGCAAGACTGGTGTTGTTTGTCTCATAGATAAAACAGGTTATAATCTTTTTCTTTCTTTCTTCTTTTTTTTTTTTTAAATAAAAAAAAATTCTTTAGACTGTATTTTATAATTACATATCCATATAAATGATAATAATTATTTTAGATGACATTCCACACTGGATTATATCAGCCATGAAGTGTTTAGCGAATTGTAAGTAGCACTACTTATATAAAGTATTATATTAAAAATTAGCAAAAAAATCTATTAAACATAAATATGTGTATCTTTTGAGAATAGGATATTGTATTCAAATAATCATATTGAATATACAGTAATTGTTTGATGAACTTCCTAAAAATCAGGATATTTTAATAAAACAGTTATTTTAATTTCACTAGTTTCTAAATTTCTCTAGATTTTTAATTGGCACAATGTAAATTTTCATGTGCTATTAAACTTAATTACATTTATTTATTTATTTATTGTTTTTATATTCTTTTCATTAGCATTGAAGAAGCAATTTTCATGTTAATATCTGGTGTAACTTTCTTTTTAAACAGAAAAACTCAGAATGTTAATTAAACATCATTAATGTAAAAAATTATATAATTACGTATTATATGCAAGCTTTTGTATATGATTATATTAAATATTTTTAAAATTTTTTATCTAAAATTTAAAAGTAACATATTTTTATTGTTAGTAAAAAGGTTTTGAAAACTTTGTTTACCCAAATTTAAATTATATATATATATTGAACTGCTTTTTTTATAAATATATATTCTGATTAATTATTGGCATTGTGATTATAATTAATATTTTTTTTTTTACTTTCTTGTATGAACTAAGGAAAGTATTGTAATCCTGAAAATTTTCAGGTATCATATTTCAGGGGAAATACCCATTTTGACTATTCCTAAATCCATTTGAATAACATCTTTGCATTACTTTTATACATATAGACAGAATAAAAAACACTTTTTTCAAAATGGATTCAAAAGTTTTTTTTTTTTCTTTTTTTTTTCGAGTTCATACGTATGTATGTATGTTTCTTATATAACTAAAAAATGATAAGACATAGAATGTTGAAATTTTGTATATGTTACTGCTGCTTTAACATCTAGTTGTGAACCTTCCTTTTTTATTGCAATTGGCAGTACCAGAAATATATATATATATATATATATATATACCTCTTCCCCATATATATATACCTTATTATATATATTACCTTATTTTTTGCAATCATTTGCAATCATTGGTCATACTTCCAGTTACAAAAAAACATTTTGACTTTATTTATGTTTCAATCTGTTTTTTAATCTTTTAATTGTATTTTTGTTTGTCTGTATTGGGTGTGCTGCGTAAACGCAGCATATCATTTCAAAATTAAAAAAAAAATTTATTTTCAGCAAATAACAAAATCTAACTTTTAATGCAATACCTTGTACATAGTCTCCCAGTACCTACACTTATAATTGGGAAAGTTTTATGCTCATTATGAAAAAGTAAAATTATTCTTCTTTACGAAAAAGTTGACCAGGATATTTTATTTCAAAATTTGCAATTTTCGATATCATTTTCAACTTGCCTTGAGGAAGTAGTTAATTAAATTGTAAAAATTCGAGGAAATAAGTTTAAATGAAGGGCAGCAAAGAACGTGTATAATTTAATTGGCTGTACAAGGAAGTTAGGTAGTGTTCAGTTAGTAGTTTTTTCCATGCAAAATTAAGCTCTGTGCTTTTATGATGTTTCTACAATATTATCAGCAAAAAAATGTAATCCAGTTTCTGTTGTTTCTTTGATGTACATATGTAATTTATTAAAATCTTAAGGTTATAATTAGTTTATTTTTAATGTACCTTACTGGAATAACATTTTCTGTGTTTGTAAATTTTTTTAGGGGGGGGGGATCATTTTTAAAGGTGTTTAAGCCTGCCAGTGGCTGAGGCTAATATTTTTGTAGTTTCAACTGGGTTTAGATTCTAGATAGTAGGTTGTTTGCTTGGGTGTTCCTTTGTGCTGCAGTATAAATGCAAGCCAATTTTCCTTAAAAACCTCCATAAAGGCACCCATTCCCTTATTCAGATAACTACCATGATTGCATATTTCAATAAATCTAAATATTGTTTAGTAAATGCATTATAATAATAATTTAGGATCAGCTAATATAAGTATTGTTAAAAGCATTTGAAATATAAACATGTTTTCAGTATTATATAGGAGTATGTGAAAATTTATTATTTTGAATTTTTTATTAGGGCCTAATGCAAGTGGAAGTGGCAGTTGCTTACCAAATTATCCTGGATTTGAAAAAGATGTATTTAAAGTTGTGAGGGATTTTTTTTTGAATCCACAAGTTCCTTTACTACCATCTTCATTATCATTGGTTCTCATAAAAGTTTTTTGTATGTATTTATCTGTACTGAAGTTCCATTGATGATGATAATTTCTGTTTTGTTTTAATTTAATTTTTTGTTCTATTTTAATTATACATATATCAGTTTCAATTTGTCTGCCATTTCTAGTTTTCTCTTAGTCACTTAAAATTATAAACAACTTTGCATAATTAAAATAAAGGATGCCTTTTATAGATACTTTTTTAGTACATGATATCTATCTCTCTGTCTACATATTTTAATTCCTGCCCTGTTCATTGAAGAGCATTGTGGGGATATAATTTTGAACTCCTGTGTCAAAATTGCTGAAACAATTGACTGATCATCAACTTAGTCTGTATGCCATAAGATTGGAGGAATACGGAATAACTGCACTTGACTGGAAAATTTGTTAACTTCACCAGTGGGACACCTGGTCATTTGTTAAAGTATGTAGAGTACTACAATACTGGATTAAGGAAGGAAAACATATACAAGACATATAACTGGAAAGAAGACTTGATATAATCTATTCCTGCTGTTGCTTTATATTTAACCTTTTGAAGACGGGATGGCCATTATAATGGCGATCGCGTCTTCAAAAGGTTAAAGGGATGGCAATTATAGTGGAGGTGATTTCTTAAAGGGGGGAAAGCATTCGGTTCAAGATTCCCTGTCCTTTCAAGGCTTTTACTGATACCAAAGCCCCGGCCTCAAAAGGTTAATTGAATAATGCAGAATTTATTTGTAGTCAATTTTTCTTTTGTATAATTCTAATTCTCTTTTTAGACAACTACGTAATTTGGCTTTACCATTTTGTATAGCAGGGTTTCTTAAACTTGTTCAATCACGGACTCTTTTTTTATCACTGAGATTGTTTCGTGACCCGCAGGACCGCATAATATTTACAAGAATTTTATGCGACCCCCATAAGTATTGCGCAAATCCGACACACACGTGAGTGAAACTGTCAATTTTTTCACTTGTACTGCAATATACTATTGCACTTTTAGGTCATTAACTTTTATTTCTAATTTTAAGACATAGAACAATGTGAAAATTTTAAATAAGTAATAGACGAAATGACAGTGTCACGTGCAAAGCAAGGATAATGAACGTTTACATCATAAAAAGAATGCGTCGAAGCATTTTTTTTTTCTTTGTTTGTATTGTCTTATCTTTATCTATTTTCAGATACATTGTGTAAAAATATTTGGTAATTCTAAAATTATTATAATAAATTAAAGAAATATCAAAACAGCTAAAATTTTTGGCGACCCCCTGCTGCAGGTCGCGAACCATAGTTTAAGAAACCCTGATGTATAGTATTGAGATCCAATTATACTTTTGATTTTCTTTTTTACAACTGACACAACAAGATTCCCCAACTGGACATTTATTCTGATATGTCTCATTTTTTCGCATCTGGAGCATCTTTGCTTAGCATTGTAATATTTTATTAATATGTCCGTGATTAAAACATTTATGATGCTGAATCACTCTAGGCAATTCTTGAACTATATTTCTTGACCATTTGAGATTTACATATTGATTTTTAGCCATAAGTGTGAAAGAATTGGGGTCTACTTCTAGTGCTTAGCTGTTACGTAGTTTTCCTTCATTCCTTCATGGAGAATTTTGCATCCAACACAACGTATTCATATATATCATTTTGTGTCCGTATGGTGTTTACAAAACTTTCTTTTGTAAGTTCATTTACATTGTATATAATAATTTTTGGAGTGCTATTTTCACAAGTGCTTTAACCTCCATTTTACCCTTAAGCTTTCATTTTCTTGAATTGCCTGTTCAGTAAGTGCCATATCAAACTTTTTGACTACTTTTATTAGTACTGCACTCTTTAATTTTCCTTAATTGCTTAATATTAACTTTTATTTTTGTTGGATCAATACTTTGAACTGAACAATTTTTCCATTGTTTTAAGGTTTCTTTTCGATTTTTTTTGGTATATTAGAACTAAAGGTTTTTCTTCACCGTTTCTTCTGCACAAGGGTGATCTAGATTTGGATCTAGCACTCTTTTGCACTCGATTTGCTACCTTTTCAGCATAAGTCTCTTTCTCGTTCATCTGAGTTAATTTGCAAGTTTCTCTTCTTTAGTCTATGTCCTATGTTTTGATAAAATTCGGCTCTGGTGTCTAGGGTAACTGTTCATAAATATTGTTCGATCATTAAATTGAAAAGATAAGTCAATGTATGATGTATTTTAAATATCACTGTCTGTTTACATTTAATATTACTTATTTTGCTAAATAAGAATTTAAATCCTCCATACATTTGTTACCAAAATGACCATCTTAGAGATATTAATCTAAATTTTTTGGTCCTTCCATATTGGCATCCGATAGCAAATTCGTAATTATTCAATTTGTAATTAATTTTAAATTAAATTACAAATATAGTTAACTATTAGAAATGTTCAATTTAACGTGGCGAATGCAAACAGTATTAAAGCATGTGCTGATATATAAAAACTATCTGATTAACAATGAAATAATGATTGCTAAAGTTTGATAATATTAAATGTAAAATGAATACTATTCTAAAGATATGGTATTACTGCATTAATATATGATAAAATAAAGCTACAGTAACCTCCCCTTAACATGAACTCCCTTAAGGTGAACACATCAGCATGAACAAAATTTGGGTCCCGGTAGCAATGTGCATGATCTTATAGGAAGTTTTATCAGATGACATGAATTACAAATTGTTTTTCAGTCTGCTGCATCATTAGATTTTATCAATTAACACGAACTTTCAAAATTTTTGTATTCCAACCCTTTGTTTCTCTACTAGAGTTGTGTTCAAAAATGTTCCATCCTGGTTAATTAAAAACCTAAACAAAAGACACCGTATTCTTAAAACATAGCTAGTATGAGTAACGCTGCTCAACAATTACAGTTACCCTGTCAGCAGTCACCTTCAATCAACAAATGCAATTCTGTGTTTCGATGTGCTTTTTTGTTCTTTAAAAGTAAGCTAGTATGTCTAGTGTTAAATCTTGAATAAATCTGAATTAATCATGTAAAATTACTTACCTGTCTTCTAGTAATCACTGGGTGAGGTAGTATCTTCTCTTCTTCAGAAAACCAGTAGGATACAACATACTAACAGAATAATTCCAGCTAAAATTTAAATGTGCATTTATAATAAAATACAGTACAAAGTCCGAAATCTGGACGTCCATTATCCGGAATGATCTAAAAACATATATAAATATATTTATATATATATCCACTCTGTTAGCTGGCTCAGTGATCTCAGTTTCTTTACTCTTATACGTTTTTAAATTATGCATTTTTTGCTTTTTAAAAATGATTGAAATATATTGTTATTATCTTCCGGCTAAGGTTTTTATACCTTTGTAGAATTATCAACAGTTAAAAAGCTGTTTAAGTACGGTTAAGCCTAATTTTTAAATAACATGGCAGACATATTTGTTTACATTTGAAACAGCAGAATAGTAGATTTGTTGCCAATCTAGAAAAACTAAGCTTCACAACAACAAAGATAACGCCTTCATTTATTATTGTGAATTAAATCATGCTTAATCCTTTCTAGAATGTTTTCGAGAAAATAAGTGTTTAAGATTTACGTTGTAATTTTTAATACAGATATTTTGAGTTTTTATGTATTTTTGCCTTGTCGGTATGTCAGAACTAAATTAATTGAATGAGAAATAGTGAATTGTGTTAAAAACTGTTTCTTTTTTGTTTTGTTTGTTTAATTTCTTTTATACATCATTCTAGATTTATTATAGTATTTGAATAGAACATGTGGCAACGATTAGGTAATTCTTCAAATGATATCAATTTTGTGCATTCTGAGTTATAATATGGCATAGCCGAGTGGCAGAAATCCTCAAGATGCAGATCTTCACATCATGGGTTCGATCCTCAGCCCCGCTCATGCTCACTACAATTTTTGCCAAAAGATGGCACCACGTTTACTTCTCTTCTAGAGACTCTGCACTAGGTGCAAAAATTACGTTCCATCTTACTGGATTCAACTCATCATTAAAGATACCCTATTCATAAAATATTGGTAAAGGCTGTACTAGATTGATTGCCTCTTAATTGCCTTACAACATAAACATAGTTATAATATGAACGAAATATAACGCTGTTAAGTAAAACTAGCGCCAGAGTGTCGCTATGGTAAACAAATACAGTCAAAAGTCGTTAATTCGGACACCCATAATCCGGACCTCAAAGCTAAAAACTTTCTGCGCATGCATAGCGTTCACACGTGCGCATAGGCGTTTGCGCGTGCGCGTAAGACCTTTACAGCTGCGAATATACATGTGCGCATGCGTATAATACGTTTACACATGCGTGTTTAATGTATAACGAACGGTATAAGCTAAAACTATCTAATTATTTATTTCAGTTAATGTTGCAGATTGCGTTGTTCCTCAATCTTCGAATTGGATCCGGCTTATTATTTTTTGCAGACTGTTAGAGCAATTTTATAAAAGTAAGCTTGAACTTCCGATTACGTCAAATAGAATTTCCGATATATATTTACTAATACGTAAAGGATCTACAAAGCGAAAGTATTTTTCGAAATCCATTAAACAGAAAGTGGAATTGCTGCAAAAAATGGATAAAGGTATATATCCTTTGATTATCTAATCATTTCGAAATATGTTTATCAATTTCACGCTGCTCTGCGGTGGGAGGGAAACGACATGGCGCGCAATGAATTGGAAGTTGATCTGTCAGCACTATCCTTATCTTCAGGGCAGATGTTTTTATTTTATTTGGCTTATACCCAGGCAGCACGTCTCCAAAAATATACGTATAATTTTGGTGAAATAAGGGTATGGTATTTTTTGCACGTTACTTTTACGAAATTTATACGAATGAAAAAGGCTGAAGTTACTGTTGACTCTTTATCGTTATTTTCCACACGTTATTTTTACGAAAATTATATGAATCTGAATGTACTAAAAAAACTACCGCCATAATGGTATATTTTATTTGTCACTTTTACGCATATTATACG